CAACTAAACAGACCATAACCTTCCTTGAAAATATTACATTAAGCATGACAACAAATCTGTTATTCTAACTTTGAATACTCAAAGCAAGCAACACCATGCTGTATAATCAAGATGAAACAGTTGACACTTTCATAAAAGCTGACTGAATGCTCTGGATTTCAATGAAAGCTGCCATTATAATCAACATGTAGCCTATGCATTTAGCTGACTCTTTTATCCAAAGCAACTGCCAGTGTGTATTCCATGTAATTCAAACCCATGATCTCGCCGTTGCTAACTCTATGATCTAACAGTTGAGCCACATGAATACTAATATGCCTACACAAGGTCTGATAAATCTAGTTTATCTTGATTACCAGGAGGCATTGACGGTGGAAACCCAGCAAACTGTGGTGGAGGGATTCCTGGCGGCAACGTTGGGATGCCTATTTGTGGCCGGTTGAGATGAGGAGGGAAAGACATCTTGGGCAGAACACCCACCTTAGACAGAAGGCAAACACATCATTAACAACTGTAAGTAACAGGGGTTTATACATTGTTTAGGCTGCTACAATACGGATCCAGTATATATTCAGACCAGATGGTGGATCAGCACCTAGAAAGGACCTCTACAGCCCTGAAAGACAGCGGAGACCAATTCACCTCATAGTTTACAGTAAGTATCTATTAGAGCCCGACCGATATATCGTTTAGCCGATATTATCGGCCGTATACAATGCTTGTAAATGGTGTAATTACTTAGTTTGTCCAGCAGAGCATGCTCCATTGTTTGCTACTGGCGATCTGGATGAAACGCTTTCAAGCTTAAGTCTATGGAAAACTATTGAAACTTTGAACGGCCATATCTCCGTAAAGGCGTGGCAAATTCACACAAAATTCAGGGGATCCCTTCAGCTCGAGGAACCCTCTCGAACGCGAATCGAGTGTACGCCTCGAGGCCCTCTTTCGAATGAGACCACCCCCGTGTGGATAGCCCCCAGGGTTCGGGAGTTACGGGTGGTTAAATTCCCTTCAGCTCGAGGAGCCCTCTCGAACGCCACCCTCCGCGCGTCGGTAGCCCCCCGGGATCGATAAATAACAGATTGGAGATTAAAATAATAGCAGATTTGTCTCATTTTAAATTAATAGTAAAAACTGAGATAAAAAAATTACTTAAACCAGAATTTTAATTCTACTATGGTAAAAGAAATATTCAAACCACGTGTGTTACAACTAAGCCCCCCCGTTACTTTGTGCATCGCCCTCCCCTATATTATGTCACACTTCACACTTCTCTAGTAAGA